CCCCAAAACCCCAAAACCCCAAAACCCCAAAACCCCTTAAGATTTCTCAAAAATTGGACAGAATCTTTATAAACTTACTCCTATTGCTTCATGATCATAGAGCTAGAAGTAAGAAATTACGCATCATGATCTCTATGAAGCCTCTGCTGGTAGCCATTAAGCACTCTTGTAAACCTCTGTTTGAGGGCCTCCAGGTCCTTTGTGAAGGGAGGAGTTGTATTTTTATGCTTCCTTGGAAGATTCTTGGGTCAATTTAGCAGAATCTCTTTATTCTCATGACCATCTTTATTAACCTTGATCATAAGAGGTTTATCATTACATATATTAATCACCAGTGTATTAATGTCCCCTTTCGGCTTGTTTAAGAACTTTTGTAAAGTGTCTGAGGTAGCCAGAGGCTTGGCATGCACCAAACTTGTCCGCGAGGAAGGCCGATTAGATGCAGAATTCTTTTCTTGAGAAGCTCTGGATTTGTTGCCTAAATCTAAGTCGTTAGTCCTTACTCTTGCTCTTCTTCCTCTTTTTGCTACTGTTCTTTCGGTTCTTTATCAGTGAGTTAAACATAGCAATTGTTGGATGTGAAGTTGCCATAGTTGAACTCAGTAAATTTTGAGTAGAACTATACGGATGGTTTTTCATCCCATGCCGACTCTTATGACAATGTGTCTTCTTCTTCCCGTCAGAGATGCTGTTTTGGAACATTGTTAAGGAAGAATTACATCTTATTATCTTTGATTTCCCTATAAAAATGTCAGGAGTTTCATCCCAAAGGGAAATAAATTGAGGAATTTTTAAGAAAGTTGTAGCCAGACAACTACTAATTTCTGCGACACCCACCTGCTTCCTTCTTCTTTTTCATAATCTTTGACCTGTTCTTTGGAGAAGATATGTATTTACCCCTAGAATAATGTTAAAATGAGTCGAACAGAGTTCTCACCTTGGAGATAAGGAAGTGACTTGGTTAATCAACTTCTTCAGATTAGTATAATTTGTCTTCATTAAGCACTGATGGTTCTTTTTGGCTTTCTATGGGTTAGAAAGAGCAATACCCGCCGCTGGCTTGTGTCAATGGAATACTTGCTGTTTTCCCTCCCTGCTACATCTAATGAGTTTTCAGCTCTGAATGGCACTATGCTCAAGAGGTAAGATAATCATTGTTTTTAAGAGATTGCATTTTAATATTGGTTAATTTTGATAAAATGCTAGACATTTATAAAAACTATAACTATATACTCTAACCTTACCTTGGCTATGATCAAGCTTGATAGGAGACTGGCTGCTTTTCATTCCTTTAATCCTTAATTGCTCCTTGGTCTTCTTTGAAGATTTCTTTAGAATCTATATTTTCTGAGTTAAAGCTCTCATAAAATTTACTAAAATACTGAAATCACTTACATTCGACCCTGAGCCATAAGTCTGCTTTGAAAGGATAAAGTTCTTAGACAAAGAATGCTTTGTGCTTTTCGGTAGATAATTAAAAGCACTGGCTCTATTGTAATTAGTTGAATCCTTAAGAAAGTTCTTGTTGAAGTTCTTATTCATATTCAAAATCAATTATTCAAATAAATTTACCTTAAATGGGGTTTTGGGGTTTTGGGGTTTTGGGGTTTTGGGG